CCGCGTTACCTTCTTAGGCTCCTTGGGCTCTTTCTTGGCTGCTGGCACCGGGCTCTTCCCTGCGGGAGCGGGCGTCCGAGACGGAGGCTGCAGGGCCCCCAGGCTGGCACCCCCCCACACTGGGGGGGCCTCGGAGTCCTGCGGCATCCTCGGGGAGCCCTGTCCAAGCAACGCGGGAACCGGTTCACCTGGGGCACTGCCCAGGAGCCCAGAACATCCCTGAGAGATCGGAGAGCCAGAGCGAGGAGAGGAGAGGGAAGGAGGCGGGACGGGAGGGCAGCCCTGGCGCCCGGGCCAACCTGAGAGCCAGCCCACAAACAAGCGGCTCATCAAGGGGCATCACGGGACCAGAAGGCGGGCTCTGGGCCGGGAGAAACGGACTCCACGTACCCCGAGCGTCAAGACTGGTCAGGGAGCCGTGGGCGTTTTAATGAAAAATGTCCCTGGTCAGAGTCTGTTTTCAATAGTTAACTCTCATTTTCACTTTTCCAGGACAGAACACACAGTGCAGTTTCAACGACAGCGATCGCCTGCTGTCGGTGTCCGTGCTGAGCTGGACACCCTAGAGAAGGTTCCAGAAAGTGGCTGTAGACAGCATTTGTCCCGCCCGCTGGGCATCAGAGTAAACAGATGGTATTTACACCAAACAGGTCTGATAAGATGAGTCTGTTTCCAGGAACCCGGGGGGACTGCAGGGGCCCCGTGCAGAGCAGGTGCAGGGCCGGGGGGGCCGTAGGGGCCCCTAGAAAAGGTGCGGTGCAGTCACAGCGGCCGCCAGTGGTACTCCTCCTTCAAGCAGCGGCTCCCACACCAGTACATTCCCCTCCCACTGGTGTCTCCTCCCAGGGCCTCTCCTAAGTCAGCGCTATCTGCCCACTGGCAAGGAAGCCCCAGGACCCCGCCCTCGTCCACAGGGAGGTGGGAGGAGCCAGTACCGCATTCTCAGACTTGCCACCCAGATCCTCTTCCCTTCGCTCCGCCAGCGAGCCTCTCCCGCGGGGGTCCTGGGGCAGCGCTCCTGTCAATGGCAGAGAGGGCCTCTGTGACCGCGGAGCCGCCAGGCACAGGGCAGAGGGAGCCGGCACGGAGGGGGCATGCGAAGGCCGCACCCTCTCCATGCTCCGTGAGCACCAGGCCTGAGCGCCCTGACTGCAGGCTCCCCACCCGCCCCGCTCCCGGGACAGGAGACCGCTTCAGCTCTG